CGGGATGGTGCTTGTAAACAGCCATTACATGCACCACGCAAGCAAAGTAGAGATTCTTGCTATAAATATATTGAAAAAAGGTATTCAATGACTATTGCTATGGTCACTAAATACAAAAGGAGGCAGTCACTAAATGAATTAGTAATTGCTCTTGTGACTGATCAAGTCTGAGTAATTATTCCTATCAAGTTGACTAGCTTTGGAATTTTCCCTTTTTTTTGTATTATTGAGTAATAATGGAATACTTCTTTCATAGTCATAGAAATAGGAGATAAAATTCACATGGATATAGTAAGTCGCTTGAGTTGCACTAATTTTAGAAAAATTTCACAAATATTTTATGACTTCAATTTGTAAAAAGAAGTTTAATATCCAAATTAATAATATAAATTTATATGACAAAATAAACACTAAACATAGAGAACATTAAGGAGAATACTTGAATTATAGTAACTTCGGTAGCCATTAAAGATTAAGAGTTAGTGACCATCAAGGGGAAAAATACTTTCTTGACAATGGAAATGATCTTCTTTTATTTTCAATTTTATTTATTTGTTTTGATAGACCCCCTTTTGCTTGTATATAAACATGTGTGTGTGTGTGTGTGTATAAACTATGTAATAATTTTGGTTATATTATAAAATTTTATTATAACTAATTCATATAATTGGAAATTCACTTTTACATAATGTTCTTAAAAAATGAGATCATGGTTTGAATCATATAACTCATTTTTATATAATTTTCACCTTAAAAAAATATTACTAACCAATTTTGTAACGGATAAAAATGTAGTGACCCTTTTTATAACCACTTGAATTAGGGTCACAATTAGTGATTGTAGTAAAAGATTTGTTGATTGAAATAGTGACCCCAGTAGTAACCGCTAAAGGGGTCACTAATTTAGTCACCTTATTTTTGATAACCAGAAAGGGAGTCACTAATTTGTGACCGAATCTAAAACTCACACCTAAATTAGTGGTCTTTTTTATGACCGGCTAAAATGGGGTCACTAATGAATGACCAATTCTGTGACCATCTTAGATGCAATTACTAATTAGCGACTATTTAGTAATTAAAATACTAGTAGTTGCTAATTTTATAATTAATTTATGACCACAATAACTAGAGTCACAAAATTAGTCATAAATTAGTTATTATATTTTTTTTTAGAAAAATTAAGAGTGAGCCAGTCACTAATGGATCATTAAGCAATCACTAATTCCCTTTTCTTTTGTAGTGAATATATGATTATATTATAACACAATTAATATGGGTCATTTAATTAGTTGCATTAAGGCCAACTAAATAATAGTTGCTAATCCAACAATAAGTTGGGTAGGCCTAATGTATATCAAGTCCAAAAATTAATTAAACCTTATTCTGTATAAGTGTTAAGATAATAACAAAGTCCAACAAAATTTAATTAGAGCATAAACCATTTATTAATTCCAATATAACAAGCCATATTGCTATCCACCATAGTGCACCAACATTGAACTCTTTTTTTGTCTTTTCTCTTGCCCCTCTATTCTCTCTCTAGAGTCTATACGCGCATGCCCGCACACATTCCATACATACATGCAAGTAGAAATAGTAGTGACGGTCATGGTTGCTATTGCAAGCTTGTCCAATCAGCTCTTGTCAAGAAACTTGATGGTCAGTAACCACCATCACCTTCCTCACAACACAGTGATATCAACCAAGCCATCCCCACAAGAACCGACTAAACCACCACACCAATCGCTTGCCAAGTTCACGACTTTAATCCGTGGCAGCTCTTTGCAAGCAACTGCCACCATCAATCAAGTTGTCTTTGCCCCAAGAAATTTTTCCCCAAGCTCATTGCTTCAATTGAAGGAAATTGAGATCTACACTAATGTGTGTGCGCGTGCGTGCATGCGCAGCGGGTGAGATGGGGTGAGGGAGTGAAAACTAAATGGAGTTCTGTCCTTTTTTGCAGTTGTAAAAATACATTCAAAATTTTACTTTGCCTCCCTAAAGTGTTCCAAGGTCTAATCTGAAACACCAAGATTTCGATTTCAACATTTTGACTTCCTAAGGATAAAAAGACAAGCATGCTTGAAGCGCTTTGAGAACAATTTTTTGGAACCATTTTACAATGCAATTTTTTAAACCTTTTGAAGGTCAAACTTTGGTCTTTAGAAGCATCTTTAAGAAGAATTAGTCCAAATTTTTATGACATTGTTATAGAAGACTACCTAAAAAACTAAAACTAATGCCTTCAAATTTATGCTTCAAATACATTTTCCTTGAGGTTGAAATTGCCAAAATTCACAGGTTATGCACCTTGGACTTACGACCTCTATATTGTAAGTTCTACCGACTGGGGACATAACTGTCAATATACATGGGGCTGACATCTTTGCAGCAGGCCGCACTAAAATAATTTAGCAGCAAAAACCTGTCCCAAGGATTGTGGCAGTTAGTAGGTTCATGGCTAGAGCAGCAAACTGGTGCTCCCATTCTTCCTTTCGATTTGTTCATAGGAGGTGTGTGCCTAATAGATAGAGCAGAATAGCACATTTTGACATTCGTTGGATGTATATAGAATGAATTTCTTTTAAATGTATGGAAAATCTATACTATGAGATGAGTTTTTTACGCATTTAATAGAAGCTGGGTATCCTGTCTCACAAAATGCACTCATTATCAAACCAACCCTTTCGAACTCTCAAGATTAAAGAATTTCTTTTTTTTTTTTTAATACATTAGATTGTAAATTTGGAAAGGGAGAAAGGCCAAGATTGAATATATTTACTTATTGAAAAATCTCATAAATATTTTATTTATATCATAAAGTACTCATCAATTATTTGGCTCATTAGCTCCAGATGGCAGAACCTTAAGTCAATCCCCAGACTGCCATTCCAATAATGTGGGAACATATTGGCTTGCAGTTCCTTAGTTGCGACCAGAAAACTAGCTACGCACATATGCCGGGGGAATAAATTACCACTGAGTCACCGAACTTTGAACTTAATTAAATTGAGGCCCACAAACTTTAACTGTTTCAATTAGGTATTGATTCTTTAGTCCATTGACATAGTGTGCAATGACACATTTTCCAACTACGAATCCCATACAGTGATTTCTCAAAACACGTTCACTAATTCCCAGTCAAGTCTTCTTCACTACTTTCCTTTCTAATTCTTGCTTCAATGTTCAATTCACTCTCATTCTTTAAGTCCGTTCTATTTGTCTTTTGCTCTTGTCTCTTTCCCCACGGCGCGCTGTAAAGACTAGCCACCAACAACATCCCACCTAAAATACTTCATGTTGGAGAAAAAGAATATTAGGGATGTAAACCAATAGAAAGCAAGACATCAGCATCAATACTATTCCAACCTGAAAGGGTTAGGACTGCTTTTCCGGAGGATAAAAACTAATCCAACTTTTAAAGGAATATTAAATCTAATTATAATATTGCGTTTCAACATAGCAGGAATTTATGTTAGAATGAATTCGCTGTCTCAATAAAGAGAACTTGGAATTTTATCATGTGTTGAAATGTCTCCGAGACTACTGTCAAGATGGAATTGAAAATTATAGTGTTGAATTTTTTGTAAGAATGCTAGTTCTTCATTCTTCTAGGTGATAGTTGTCCCCAATTCTTGACACATTCAGAATTTGTAGGCTCTATAATCCCTTGTTGCCCCACATATGGCCGCTAAAACATTTTGTAATGCAGCAAGTAGTGAGACAATTACCCACATCCCTATAAAGGACCTGCACGCGTGCGCGCGCTAGCTGTTACATATAAAAAAAATACTTAAAAATTGTAAAAGTTTAGAAAATATTGAAAGTATAGAAGTTTAAGATGTTTGCAAATTATATTGAAAAATAGTGGAAACCAATAAATTGATGTTTGAGAAAATAATTGTAGTAATTGTTTATTATATTAAAATTTATAAATTGACCATTATTTTAAAAAATGATATATATATATATATATATATGGGGCCATAAAGAAAATTTTTTTGAGTTATAAATACAAATTTGAAATTATTAAAATTGAAAACAAATAAATTATTTATAATTTATATAAGTTATTAATAATTTTTTCTTTTTATATAATTATCTTCATATAAGTTGTTAATAATTTAAAAATCTGATTTTGACATTCTCCTTTTCAATATAATTTTGTTTTCAATTTAAAAACATAATTTTACTTATTCTTAAATTCTAATTAATTTTTTAATTTAATTAAAATAAATAACTGTATAAAAATATCTTTGTTGATTTGGAAAGGCTAAAATAAAATTATAATAAAAATATTAGTATATATTTGTCGAACAAAAATTTTTATTATTTACAATTATACCATTAGTTACAAGAAAAATATATTTATATAATTCTACTTCTAGCGATTTTTAATTAAAGTTTAGAGAAAGTAGTGCGATAAGCAATAATATAAATAGACAAAATTGTTAAAAAATAATTATAAATAAAAAATTACAAAAAAATAACTCGCACAAATTGGTACAAAGTATTTTTTCAACTAATAATTACTTACATCTTATATATCTACAACCGAACCCACAAGTCTCACCAAATAATGTGAATTCCTATTATTTTAACATGTATCCCATAACCCAATGATTTTAACAAGTATCCCACGGCCTAACATGTTTGTGTCATTTCAAAACTTATGTATATTATGAAACTAAGAATTAATCAAAGTAGTATAATATTTGTGAGATTCGTTAAAAAATCATGCATTTAACTTTTGATCTTCTCCTAATTTAGGCCTCCGATATACTTAAAAAGAAATACTTTCTCCATTCTCTTCGTGGTGTAATAAACTTTGCCATGTTTCAAATTATTGAGCTGCCCCCAACACCGACTTATTATTTTCAAAGATCATACCTATCATTGGACCACTGGTCGTCGAGGTATATAAATATAAACAGTTGGTGGATGATATTATGTGTTGTTTTGAAACTTGAATTTAAAGAAGTTGGTTAATTTCATTACCTTCCTAGGCTGACAATCTCCCCCAGTAGAAACATGGAGCAAACGATTGTCAAAATCAATCTCGCTGGTGTCCCCATGGCTTGGAACACTGGTCCTTTCTTCTTAAGCAACCACGCCTGTATGTAATAGTTGAATCCTGACCCTATAGAACCCTGTTACACATGCTCTCCATGCCTTAATACCCATTCATATCATATAAATAACTGCCAGCGGGTTCAAGAGTCTAAGGAAAATCACAGTTTCAAGCAATACGTGCGTACTTATCAGTATTCTATATATTCATTGCAGTCTGTAATCAATGTCAATTGATGTTTGCTTACACTAAAAGCGACAGCCACCATCCTTAGGTTCCAGCCCAACTTCCATTGAGAAGGATTCCTCTCCAATGCAATAGCTACAAAAAACGACTGAATCGCGCCGACCAAGCATTGATGGCTCGTGAAAGCCAACTTTGAAGGATATTCTTCCGAAACTCGAGCCTGATCAAGTTAAAAAAGCAAGAGATATGTTTATCTTTCTTGAGTTTCTTCGGTTTTGTATCAACAAAGCAGATTGTAGTAATCAGAAAATCAGAAATTTAAGAAAACGGAAAGGAGGAGGGGAAAAGGGAAAAAGAAAAATAACAAAGGCATGATATAATTGGGGAAACAAACAGCACCTGAAAAACGACCGACAGAGACCAACAGAGGGTGCAAGCAACCATGAGCAAACAGCCCTTTATCCATGATTCTTGGGAATATGGATTGTGATCTTGGCTACTACTACTTAACAGGGGATGATGAAAGAGTTTGAAGCAGGGTCCTCTGTACACCGCAAGCACCGCCACTCCACCAAGGCAGAATACCATACCGGCAGCTTTTGCTACTCCACCACCTGTCCACTTCAACTTCTCCATCCTGCACTACCTTCATTTTCAATATCATTTAAATATTCAAACAAAATACTTAACTCTCCTGAGCATGGAAGTTGATCATTTTAAGGTTATATCAGTCTAGAAACGAAATATGAACGTTCATTTATACCTGAGATGTACCTGAACACAAGTGCCAGAAAAAATGTGATGACAGGGAGGGTATTAGTGATTGCAGCAGTCAGAGTTGCAGAAGTATAAACAAGGGCCAACCCATTTGCATTTGATGGTAAAGTTATTCTGAAAGGTAAGCACAAAATGTTGAGTTAATCACTATCTATTCGTATACCAGATAATACAATTAAATATGAAGCTGTTTATATTTGAAAGCATACCCCAGTAGAGCAAGCATGAATGCTCAAGGTCACAAATGAAAGCTGCGGTGCCTTCTTTCTACAATAGCATGGACATATAAAGATTAGTAAGTTTCAATATTTATATGTGAAAGAGGAAACACGAAGAAGATAACAGTGAAACCAAAGTACAAGATGAAACAGATTTACCGTTCAAGTATTATGGCAAAAGGGAGTAGTAACATAGTACCAATGGCTTGCCTGTAGAAGATGAAAACAAAAATGCTTATACCGTCGTTGAAAGCAGCCTTATCCAGTATACATATGCTTGCATATATCGACTGCTGTAAAATTGCTGCAACATATGGCTTCTTTTCCTCCATTTTCCCTTTGTTTGGAACTGAAGCTTGAATGGTTTGATGCCCAAGGCACAGAATGTTTAATATATGGGTTCATCTACATCTGCTCAGTGGTCAAAAGGAATTATTAACTCAACGTATGCTATTCCTCTTCCACTGAATAAAGAATAAGTGCAATAAAGAGTGGCAACATTGCATTGATTCTCTGGGAAATGACATAAAAAAGGAGAAAACGGGCCCCATTGTTTCAGTTTAAAAGTGACATTTCCTTTTCTCTTTTTGTTGAGGATTAAAATATTTATGACATGTAATTGTGATATTTATCACATATAATTGTCATATTTAACAAATATTTGTTTATCACGTATTCAAATTCGGTGCTTCTTGTCACATATTAGCTTTCTCTATTTAAATCCTTCTAACTAATTATGTTAGAATAAAATTTTTCCTTTATCTCAAACACTTTCATGGTATGTAGCTTTTACAATCCATTCTCCATCACTACGAGAAAACTAATATTTAGCCACAGTCATAACCGTGGCTAACATCCACAAAAACCGTGGCTAAATAAGGTTATCACGATTCATAAAACCGTGGCTAATAAAGGCGTCGCAATGTTATTTGCCACAATTTTTCGAACTGGGGTAGCCTCATTTAGCGACGGTTTTTGTGGATTTTAGCCCCGGTTGTAACCGTGGCTAATAATTAAAAAAGAAAAATAAAAAAATGAAAGCAAAATATTAGTTAGCCACAGTTTTAACCATGGCTAAATTTTTGCCACGAATGCAATGCGTAGCCATGGTTTGACTGTGGCTAAGTTGGGTTGAAAATTTTGCCACATGCTAACTGTGGATAGATTTTGGCCACTCGCCAATTGTGTAGCCACGGTTTAACTATGGCTAATATTTTCATTCTTTTTTTTTAAAAAAAAAATGTTCAGATTTTGTATTACATAGATAAATTATTTGCATACACAATAATATTACAAAAAGATTCGAATAAAGCAAAACATTAAATTTAACATATATAAAGTCCAAGTCTTTACATAGCAAAAAAAATTGAGGTATCATATGTATCACTAGCAAAATCAAAAGTTACAAACATGCAATATTCATAACTTCTTTAAACTCCTATCTAGTGATAAATTGCAAAAGTCCTAGAATAACATCAATTTACAGATATTCTAAGCAAATATGACTACAAGTGGGGAGTATCTTGGTGGAAACTAGGTAACTCACTACCAAATTTATCTTGAAGAAATTTGTGGAGAGTTTCCAACTGTGACTTGGTTCATCATATCCACTCAACTTTTCTTGCAAAGTCTCTACTTGCTTCTTCAAGTCTTGAATATACTGATTGTTAATATTATTACTAGAGCCACCAAAATTCACATAGTTAATGAAATTTCTTGGCAATCCAAATACACTTGAGGGGCAAACGCCAATGCTAAACCACGCACACGACCTGAATGCTTAGCACCACATACTTTTCCAATCGCATCATCACAATGAGCCAATACCTTTGATGGAACACCTAAAGTTGTAGCATATTCCTAATCTTGAGACAAGTGTTCAGATATTTTATCCTATAAATGAACAAGAAAAGAGATAAAATATTGCTAAAAATACAAGATAAATGAATGATGAATTGAAGTTTGTTTAGTTCAATATTGTGCAATTAAGAAATGACCAAAATATGTAGTTCAAACATTATGGCTAGGGAAGCATGGATAACTTATTCTAAATCATAAATGCATGCTAGTAATCCTAATTTAAAGAGTGCAGCTTGAAGGGATACTAATGTGTAGAAAATGTCAATGAGAATTTCCCAACTATTCACATGCATGCAAAATTGAGAAGCATGGATAATGAATGCTTGTTAGTGTCTAAAATGAGTGCTTAAATAGCAATTGTCATGACCTAAAAAAAAAAAAAAAAAATCAGCAGAGTTTCCTCTATAATTTGAACAAATTCAAAATTTAGATACCTGTTACTTTGTTCAACCTTTAGTTCAACATCCTCCAATTGAGAATCAAAGTTCCCAAATAGTTTGTGAGCGCTAGGTTAACATTTATCAAATGCAATTATATATACCTTTAGTCTGACTTAAAGCATCAACGGTTCAGGTTTGCAGTGCACCTTGACATTTTAATTGGGTTATGATGCAATGCCTAGTGCACTGACAATCTTTTAGTGGGCTGTTGCAGTTGATTGGCACTATGACTAGGGACGAGCTTGCAATAGTGCTTCATCCACATGATCTAAAGGTCAAATGATCTATGTGAGGCTGTCTTTAGAAAAACTTACTGCAAGCACTAGAGTGGTACTTGACATGACAACTCTCACAATTATGCGTGCTCTTCCCCGTGAAGTTAGTATTCTGGAAAAGACCAAATACATTATGCATCATTTTTTAGTTTAAAATTTTTTATAGGGTTTGTTGAGATATAGGACTGGACTTGGTGTGTAAGTTGATCCAGTTGTATACAATATGCTTCATGAAGACCTTGGAAATGTTAGCTACTCTGCAATTGGAGGATTGTCTGATCAGATTCAAGAACTTAGGGAATCTATAGAATTGCCTCTAATGAATCCTGAGATCTTCCTAAGAGTTGTCATCAAACTCGTAAGGTAATTTTATAGAATTTGGTGACCTGTTTGTAAAAGTTATGCTTTCTTTACAACATATTTAGTTAGGTTATGTTGCTCAACTTACAAGTGATGGTTAATGTTTCATGAAGAATTCAAATTCTACTTGATCAGGGAGTTCTTCTCTATGGACCTCCTAGAACAGGCAAGACCTTATTAGCTAGAGCAATTGCCAGCAATATAGATGCCAACTTCTTAAAGGTGAAGGCTTTTGTTGAGATGCACTGTTGTTCATGGCTGTTAATAACTAAGTATGCCATTTCTTTTACTTTTTATATGCTGCATGTGGTTCTCCCAAATTGGTAATACGTGCAGGTTGTGTCAAATGCCATAATTGATAATTATATAGGAGAGAGTGCAAGGTTGATCAGGGAAATGTTCAACTATGCTTGTGATCACCGGTAAGAGAAAATTCATTGAAGTCTCGTGATAACCTTTTCTTTTTGGCAAGTGATAACAGTCATTTCTTAATTAAGTTTATTCAAAAGTTATTTAAACTCATCTAACGGAGTTTCATTCACAAACTAAATGTTAAGAGCAAAAGGCATAGAGGTAAATAAACATTTAAGTATTGTAACTTGCATTTCATGAAAATTAAAATAGGAAATAAAAACATGATTACACTTATAGCCAAAATCTTTCCATCTTCATTCTAATAATTTCCATCCTTTTTCAACAAAGTTGACAAAATAATCTCACTTCGACATACAGGCCTTCCCAAATTTTGCTCCTAACATTATTAATAAGTATAAGAATTACCAAAAAAGTATCACATGAAACATATATAATTTCCTACAACAAGGCAAATCCTTAAGGCTAAACCAATACAAAGCAATTTACCATTTCACGACCTCTCCTTGCATTGCTCTTACTACCACCAGCACGAGAAACTTTATGTTTCTTATGATTTCTTGTGTTTAGCAAACTTAGCGCCAATAAGTTTCAAAAATTATAGCAATTATATACTAAGCTCTCTTGAAAATGAACAAACTAAAATAATTGCCCAATTAAGAGAATGATTACCTTCATCTTTTCATCCTTATAATGATGCACAAAAGTAGTCTAATCAACATTATCTACACCTAAAGGAGGATTGGCAAGTAACTCCCCCTTACTTTTATTAGGGTAGAAGTGCTTGCATCTTAACTTTTATTTATAAGCCTTCCATCTTTCACCCAAGATACTCATGGCCCATTTGATGCTAGCAGCATAATCAAACTCAAAATTTTCCTTCAAATATTTGAATTCATAATCATTAGAAATAAGACAAACAATAGAAAAGTGTTAAAATAATATGAAATTTAGATGGTTATCTCAATATAATTCCATTGTCGGTAGCTTTTTCTATTGGCATCCAGTGCCATTTTTCAATTGATATAGGACAGATTGTTGAGTTTTGAGCAAGCTTACCAAGAAACCTCACAAGCAAGTTTGAACCATTGTCATTACCTTGTCCATTACCACTAATTTCCACAATAACTTTTTCAGTTTTTTCCAAATGCCAAACTTGATTTGCTTGCATTGTACGAGTTGTAATTTCTCTTATACATGTATCTACCATCATACACATAAAGCAAAGTCAAGTAAATCTTAGATAGAATTATAATGTTTACTTTATTATAAAGTTGCCATGGATGATCATTACACGTTCAAGTAAAAATAAGTTGCAATAGTTACCATGGATGATCATTACACGTTCTTCTCAATATTCTTCTCAATATAAAGATTGTAGAATAAAGGAATAGATTAAGGGCTATGATAGTTGGGTTGAGGTTGTGGTTTGTGGTTTTGAATTGAGGGTCTGAATTGGAGTTGTCATGACTCTTTGGATGCTGTCAAATGGGCCGGTATGGGTTGATTGTTTGGGGTTGAAAGTTGGCCTTCTAGTTGGGTCATGCTACTATCTTGGAAGTTCAAGGCTGTTTTGGGTTTTTAGGGAAGCTATACCAACTAGTTTGGCCTTTGGTTCGGGTTCAGCTAATTCACTTGAGTCTAAAAGTTGTATTGTTGTAGATTGAACCTACTCATGCATTCAGGACCTAATTTCAGATTAATGTTGGGCTGTAGGCTATTGTTAGGTTTAAGACTTCCATTTGGTGTGAGCTAAATGTTCTAGGAGCTGTTTTGAGCTTAGAATGCAGGTTTGGAGTGGTGTTAGTTACTTGTAAGGAGAATGAGAACATGGCTAATAGGCTAAAATATAAAGACTTGGCATCTATAACAGAATTAACAGTAGCACTTCAATAGTAGATTACAAAAGCAAAAGTGGATCGTAAAATCTATTCTAACAACTTGCAACCACTACTGCTACACATACAGATATATTAAAAAAGATAAATAGGTTATATTACCTCTAATCTTAACAACTAAAGGATC